GAAGAGACATCATCATGCCAAATGGGCCCATAACAAGGAGCTGGACCAAAAGATTATAATAAACTCTTTAACTCTTCATTCAAACTTAGATTAATGTGGCATATGATCTTGGATCTGCTAAAGAAGCTCAAGGAAAAAAGCTACCTAATCAATTAACCTAATGACATAATGGTTTCATTAAGTTACTTCAAGCACATGATGGAAAGAAATAAGAAAATGAAGTAATCAGCCAAGAAAAGAAGAGGAAATTGTGAGCGGTTATCAAAAGAGCCTTCATGGCCAGCCTTAAATTATCATAAATTTTCCTCCTAAATCACGCATAATCTCTTCTAATAAAAGGGGAGATCATATCTATCATAATTAGGAATTTATACTTTAATTTTAATTAATTTTTTATGTAATTGTAATTTTAATTAATTCTCTAAATCACTCATAATCTCTTTTAATAAAAGGGAAGGATCGTATCTATGGTAGTTAGGAATTTAGACTTTAATTTTAATTAATTTTCTATGTAATTGTCATTTTAAATTAGGATATTTTTATTACCTTTTTTATTCACATGGCTTACCCTATAAATAGACCCTCAAGTTTTCATTGTAAGCATTCAAGATTGAAATTAATAATATTGTGAGTTTTATTCAAGAAATATGTCTTCATCTTTCTTGTTGAGTAAGGAGTGAATCTATTTATTAAGATAATTTCTTGTGTTGTTTTTCCATTCTTGTTTTAATCCTCTATTTCTTAGTAATCTTAATTCTTATCATTCTTGATAGAGGGTTAAGTAGGATGTGTTTTTTTTATATGATCAAATTTTTTTGGTACCTTGCATGAAATTATGTGAGTTCCTGATCATGTTGGTTGATCTTGAGTTCCACATCAAATACTTTCTAAATATGATTGATATGATTTCTATAAATTGAGAAGATCTTAATTAATTATAATGATGATTAAGGAAATAATTAAGAAAAAATATGACAAGTTTGGAAAATGATTAATTGCTCTCATAATCTTCCAAAAATCCATGAGATTCAATCTCCCACTAAGACATGGGATTTGTTTTCTTTTTTTTTTTATTTCTTTTATTTCTTGATTTCCTATGTGGTTTAAGAAGGAAATCCACCCTTTGGCTGATTTTTTCCTCGTGAAGAAATTTTTTTCCCTTTTCTTGCTCACATCATTAATTATATGCATATCCAAATTAACTCTTATTAATATGGCTTGATTTTAGGGATACTGTATCTTAGAAATATTTCATATTTATCATGAGAGATTTTTTTTATCTTAAAAGATATTTGTAATTATCTTGGGGATTATTTTATATATATCTTATAGAGTTTTGTGTGAGGACAATTCTCATAGTTTCTCTATATATGGGCTTGTTAAGCTATTAATAATGTACTATCAAATTATCATAGTAAAAAAGTTTCTCTCCAGTCTTACATGTGGATATAGATATACTTGTTGAACCACATTAAATCTTGTGTTTTTTCTTATTTTGCTATTCTTTATTGTGATTGTATATGGTTTAGAGATTAATTTTCTCAACAAATGGTATCATAACACATGAATATGATGTTTTATAGTAGCAAATGAAGCATGTTGTCCCATTCAGGTTTGGGATACGATTTTTGGACTGAGGTTATGAATACTGCTTGTTACTGGGTTAATAGATCTCCATCAATAACTATTGAGTGTAAAACTCTTTTTGAGGCATGGTATGGTTCACTGCTAATTACTCTCCAATTGAGAGTATTTAGTTGTCATGTTTAAGCTCATGTGAAGGATGGTAAGCTTGAGCCAATGACAAATAAATGCATATTTTTAGGGCATCCATTTGGAGTAAAAAGTTATAAGTTGTGGTGTAGTGATCCTAAGTCTTCAAGATTAATTATCAATAAATAATTGATATTTAATGAGTCTATTTTCCTAGACAATTAGAAGAAAAAAATGATAGTAGAATCGGATCATAGTGTCAGAGAACAAGCAGAGTTAGAAGTTCAATCTAATAATTCAAAAAATGAAATGTAAATGATTAATTAAGAAGGTAATGGTGTACTTGATCAACAATAACTATATAGTATTGCAACAGACGGAAATATAAAACATATTAGACCACCAAAGAGATATAAAAATCTAGTTGCACATGTCTTATTAGTTGTAGAGACAGTTGATTTGTAGGAATAACAAAATTTAGAGGTAGATCGGTGTGTTGGTATTTTGCATGATAAACTTAATGACATATATTACTTCATTCGAGACATTATATCGCAGAGTATTGAAATTGTGCAAAAGGAGTCTACACATGAGAATCCTACAGATATGATGATCAAGTCAATCTCAGTTAGCAAGTTTAGGCACTGCCTAGACTTGGTTGGAGTATACAATATTTATTAGTGCCTCTGTGAGGACATATTGGTAAGACGGTATGATGAGACTAACAATTTCTTTGATGATAGAGAGAATTCAAAAAAAAATAAGAAAATTTGTTGATGTGGCTTGATTATGGGGATATCATATCTTGAGAATATTTTTTATTTATTCTAGGAGATTTATATTTATCTTAGGAGATATTTTGTAATTATCCTAATGATTATTTTATATATATCTTGTAGAGTTTTATGGGAGAAAAACTCTCATAATTTCTCTATATATGGGTTTATTAATTTATTGATAATCTACTCTCAAAATTATCTTAGTAAAAATTTTTTTTTTGATCTTATCCATGAATGTAGATACATTTGTCGAACTATATTAAATTTTGCATTTTTTCTTATTTTACTTTACTTTATTGTGGCTGTGCACAATTTAGATATTTATTTTCAATAGCAACTCTCCATTGGTTGACCATACTTTCAATCCATTGGTTGACCATACTTCTTGGGAGGCAAAACCCAACTTTTTATATATTTAAATCATTTTGGTTGAATTAAGTTTTGTCCTAAAAATAAGGTCAGGAGATATATTATTTAAAATTGCGCTTAGATTCCAAACTACAAAGGCATAGACAAGCTCATTGCAGTTGATAGCTATTATTTTCATGGCTCTTGTGGAGGCATTAAGCTTGCTTCAAAGGCCTTTGGATTTAGGGGAGAAGATGAGAGAGTTTCTTGACTTGACATGCTTGTCTTTGCAGCTTGTTTATTTCCATTAGCAGATCGAGCCTTATTTTCTGTTTTAATTCGTTTCCTTATAGTTTTTGAATGGCTGATGGAGAGGTTAATCCCTAGCATAGAGCTATTGGGGGTAAAATGAGGGACAGGAAAATTTTTGTGCTTGAGGCTCTTAGTTGGGTTTGTTCTTGTGGGTTTTTAAGTGAGTGTTTTCTAGCTAGTAAACCCAGGTGGTTTTGGGAAGCTTCTCTTTTAAGACTTTTAAAAGTGGGCTCGGCTGCTGCTGGGTATATAAGGTCATATGGGCTTGAGTCTGTAATATATTTGATC